AAAAATCTTCAGTCCAAAGAAAAATCAACATAAAATATTGAGCCTAATGAATGAGATCAGTAATCTATGATAATATAATTGCATACAATACTAAATCACAAAGAATTAATTAGCCCCCCTTTCCCCCCCCCCCCCCCCTCCCCTTGGTCACTGGAATGGTCATTTGTAGAACGATTGCAGAAAATAAAGGAAGCATAGAATTCAAAACCTCTAAGAGCACTATTTGTAGTAAACTTCATGAGCTATCGACTAGTAAAAAAAAAGATTTTTTTCGCTGTGCTAGTGCCGAGATATACAACTTATAAAATCGATGATCTTCAAAAAAAGTAAAAAATGGAATTTTTTTGGTAAAATTCTTTTTCTACCTCTAGGCAATATATATCTTGGCGACGTGTTGCGTGATTTACATCAAAGAAAGTGTCCACTAGTAGATTATATAAGTTTCAAAAATTTGAAAAGCATTAGGTAAGCAAGATGTGGTAAAGCATCGAATGGTCACTGAAGGACTTCCAGAAAATCAACCCTTAGCTTTTGGCCGTCTACAACCAGAAAATAAAGTTTTATTTAAACTACGTAAAATTATGGAGTGAACAATTCTCTACAAAATAAGACGTCCACGAGCTCTCTACGACGTTTTTTGGCCGAACTCCGTCGGTATTATGGAAAGTTCACGAAATTTTTTCCAAATCGATCCCCCTACTCCCCCTCAACAAACTACCCTAAAACTCAAGTGTGCGTTTGATCGATCTGACCGTACTTTTAGCATATTGGAGGCACCAATACTCTATTCCAATGGTTGTTTCATCAATAGCTCTTCTGGAATCTCTATGGGGGGTAAAGGATTAATGATCCATGCATAGAATCAAACTAGTCAATCTTTTGTAAGTAAGAAAATACTCTTATCAAAGGTTATCATCATCAAATTGATTCGATATTCTACCATACACATGTAACGGGATATTTTTTTAAAATAAAAGATTAATCAATGAAAAAGATGTGAATTCATACTCAACAATTGTTGAAAAAATTCAATTAATTATAACATTTTATTCCAATTCTTTTTTCATGATTTCTATAGATTCAAAAAAACTTCATCTATACGCTAATATTTCTTAGTACTAAACTTTTATCAATAAATTTTCTTTTATTCTAGCCTATCTAATGAAACATAAACAAATGTCATTACGTGAAGCATTTTATTATTTGCGTTTACGTCGACCAATAATTGGACCTAATTTTGGCTTCATTAAACAAGTAATAACAAAAAATAAAATAAAATTTCATAAAAATTTCAAATATATATATATTTTTGTCTTCAGTTAGCTGCTTATGAAAAATCTTTATTTGGTTCAACAACTGTTTCATTTATTGATACATCATTTGGTTCTGTACCTGACATTTATTTATCAATTGGAGGAACATCAAATAGTCGTCGACAAACAACAACACTTCCTGTTCAAATAACAAATAAATCATTATCATCATCACCATCATCATCATCATCATCATCAAGACCAAATTCATATATTAATCGTTCGATAACAAATACATTACCAATGCAAGATTCAAGAATTAGTACAAGTTATTCAAATAATAATAATAATTATTATCGTCCAATAAATTCCTTGATGAATAATTCAAATAGTTATAATAGTTCATCATTTTTACATGAACAACCTGAACAAACTCGTTTTAATTCTGCAGCATTTAAACCATATGAATCTATACGTGAGCCATTTCTTTCGACAAGATTAAATGCATTGCGAACAGGCAAATATGCTCCGCCAATCTTAAATCGTTATTATCTTCCATAAAAAGAAAAACGAATTTTTAATTTTATTTAATTTTATTTTTTTGACTGCGCCAGATAAGATTCTATTCTCTCATTAACATAAGTGCTTAGTCTTTTTTCTTCTTCTCTAGTTGGCTTCTTACTTTCGAAATGATTCTATCCAAAGAAAGATTTGTCTTTTGCTGCTTGTTTTATTTCTCTAATGACAAGAATCCGGTGTGTGCTTTGCTTAATTTACTTAATGGATGATTATTATTATTACTATTATTATTATTACTATTATTACTATTATTATTATTATTTAAGTGAGAATACTATACAGGATGACAAATCCTATTTATTTTTGTATTTTGTATTAGTTATAATAAAATAAAGAAATTTGAGTTGAATACATGATTGATTTTCTCATTGCAAAAGTGTGTTGATATATTTATTTGTTTTTGGTGAAGCGAAGACTGACATTCAGACTGAAGGTCACAGAGAAACCTGCAGGTGTCTTTTTTTTATAGATAATAAATTATTTGAAAAAAAAGGAGGGTGGAATATTTTTTTCATTTGCTATCAGTCCGAATACAGCTTTTCGAAAGCAGATTATATTTTTTATGAGTTTATATTGAAAATAAAATAATTTTTCATATTACTCACTACGAATGGATAAAAAAATGGCCTGAGTTGTCAAGGAAAAATGCTGCTTGTACATGTGTAATCAAGAAATTTTTAAAAATTACTCTGCAAATAGATTATGTCCGTAGTAGTATATATCAATCCGATAAAGATCATAATAATCAGTCTGTGTCAGTAAATAAAATACAAAAAAAAAATGATTGTTTCACTTTTTTGAAAAAATACTATTTTTGGAATCATGAGTCTTAGTCAAAGAATAATGAAATGATGTGTAATCCGATCAGTTAAGCCAACACTCAAGAGATTTAGTCGTGCCGCCGTTCACAATAGTTCCTGAAGACTCCAACTGCCGACACCGCAAAATAAAAATAAATATTTATTGAAGACTTCAAAGTGTTCGCCAACCGTCTCGATCCGATGCTTTACCGTTTATTAAAGTGAATGACTAATATGGATGAAAAAAATTCGAAGGTCATATATAAAAAATGTAGATTTGGAGTTTTCTAATAGATGTATATTTATCTATTGGTAAAATTGCATTTAACATTTATATTATAAATATAGATTTATATTATTCTATAACTGTATTCCATTTTGTATTGAATTCATTCATATAATGATCATCTTGATATTATCGTATACGAATCTTAAATATATAGTCAGAGTATTTACTTGATTAAAGCTCAAACTACGTCTTTTGACCTTGGACTAATGGAAACCATTAACTACGAATAAACAATGTGTTTTGGTACATTGAAAGTTATATCAATGTATATAATTAAGTAATCAAAAAAAAGAAAAGTTATCAATTATTTATTATATTTTGCCTTTAGCTATATCATAAAATAGTCTGTGTCTAATAATTATATATCTAACAAAAACAAATTTCTTTGTAAAAATCAAAATAATAATATATATAATGATTTCTTCTTGTTCATATTATTGTAATGTCTAAAATAACATCAAAATGATCTTTTCATTCTTGTTTTTATTTTTTTTTACATTTAATCTTTTGCTCATATTTATTATTGACATATACACATAACATCGAGATTAACTTCTTTTATTTGTCAACTCTTTGAATCGGATTTATCTGTTATTTTTTGTTCACGAATATATTGGTTATAATGAAAAAAGGAAGTACATTTCTTTCTTTTTTTTATTTAGGACATTTTAAAGATTTATTAAATGTATGAATATTTTGCTTATAACATTCAGTAACAATACGATCACATTCACAAACACGATGTGTACATGAACCTGGTTCATCTTTACAATGTAAAACATGAGTATTATGATCTAACTCCCAATTATAAAAACTAACATAAGGTGAACATGAAAGAAAATTTTCTCGAGACTTAATAATATCATCATAACATTTATCATGAACTTTACAACAAGCATCTGTAGCATCAATTGGTTCACCTTTACCACCAAATCCACACCTAGAGAAAAAAAGTTTGTTTGTTTTCTTTATTAAATTTTATTTTAGTGTTAATTACCAGCAACCATAACCATTATAGTCTAATGGAGATTTGCCTAATGCTTGTATGATCATATTACCAAATTGCATTAAATTTCGTCCTTGACTTGCTGCTCCCGGTGCAGGTGTAGCATTGATTTGAAATAAAGAGATCAGACAAAGAAACGTAAGAATAAATAAGGATGAAGACATGGTGAATAGTTAATTAAGGATATCTCTAGAAAAAGAAACACAAAACAAAAAGACATATCATCATATATTCAAATATAATCTTTAGTTTAAATCTAGTAGCAAGGACGTATATTTATACAAAAACAACAAAATAATAGTTTTGCTTTATTCACCCACTGTTATTGGCAAAGAGAAATAGATAGAATTAAAATAGTATTAATCGTGGGAACTATTTTCATGTTTATTGCAGATGGTTAAAATCAATGTTTTAATGCCTACACACACGTTATCAGAAGCAAACCAAATGATATCGTTCTCTAAATTCGCTCTTATAGAATAAATAATAACAACTTAAAAAATATTAAATATTCAATATATTTGTATCATTCTATTACGTTTGTTTTTTTATACAAAAATCAATGAAAATATTTTCAGATAATTGAATTAAAAAATTATATTGATGAAATAATGACTTAGATTATATCAATATTTAATGATATCAAACATATTGTAAAGGAAACACATCTTTTCGAAGCTATTTTTGAATTAGCATTGTCCATATTTTAACATTCACCTCATTTTAGATATATCTTACGATATATTTAAGTTTAATTTTTATTATAAAATTTCTTTTTTCATTTAAAAAAAAATCATCTTATCTTTACAATATGTATTGATATATAGGCAAAATCATTCATTAGCAATGTAACTTCGAAAAATTAAAATACAAGTTTTCGGACAGTTTTCTGATATGGTTAGAGAGATATTCGCTAAATAGGCAGTTGAAAGGGCCAATATTTTTTACAAATGTCTATGCGAAAAGAATCCATTCAGAAAAAATCTTCGTAAAGTATTAAAGTCAAATGATAGGTGAGTATATCCCGTTTTGCCTGAAATGGCTTATGCACGAACGACTAAGAGAAAAAGATATCTGCATTTGTATCATCATCGAGAAAGTTTTTTTTTCTCACTCTTCAAAAGATGATCTAAAATGATTATCGTCTTTTGAAACATATTATTTCATCTTCATATGTTGATAAAATATTTTTACACCAACTAATTATTACGATATTCAATTTTATTTTGTTTCGGTCAGTCAACGGTATGAATATAAATATGAAAATCCTAATTATTCGTTCATATTTCTGTACAAATCAATCATGTTTAGAATATTTGCAATGTATTATGAATACGAAAAAATATTAAACAATATTGACATTTCAAACGATTATTAATTCTACTTTCAGTTAGTTCGACAGCAAATAAATTTTATGCAAAAAAG